GTCCCATTAGTGTAAAACTAACTCAGCATTTCAGAAAAAGGTTTTAATTAAACATGGTGGAGGCAGAGTGATGGTTTCAGCTGCTTTAGGACATGGATTAATTACTACGATGAGCAAATCCTGAACTACAATGTCCAACTACTTCCAGTGTGGCCTAGTCAAAGTCTGGCCATACATCTAATTGAGATGCTGTGGCATGACCTTAAATCTGTCATTTTTGATTGAAGGAATGGTTTCAGTGCACTTAAGTTTAAATTTATCCAAAGTACACCAGGAGGTTTACTGCTGAATTTCTCATAAAAACACACAAAAATGAAGGTTTCAGTGGGGCCTAGTCAAAGTCTGTCGTTAAATTGAATTTAGGTAGTAATTTTTGCTTTAAATTAAGTAAAAGTCGTTGCCGGGATTCAAAATGCTTGATACTTTTTTCACATTGGGTGAAATTGGTTGAGATCATTTTTTCCTATTAAGAAGTTAAATCATAACTTAAAAATTTCATTTTAAATTTATTATGATTTAAAGGGGGCAAATACTTTTTCACAACATTATATGTTATTAACCTTCAAGCTTCTTTTTCCACCCATTAAGAATCCAGTTAGGAAACAGAAGAACTGTCTCTGAAAAGGGAAAATAAACTGAATCTGCAACATAATTTCAAATAATCACTGTAGTTTTTCTTTTTCCTCAATCTGAGTTTGTTTCATCAACTTTTCATAAAGATAAATGACCTGACAGCTTCCTGGAAGTGAAGTGCTGCTGCTGCTGGATCTGCTCTGAGGGTAATTGGTTAATACTTTGTAAGCCTCTCTGACTAAACTCTCACATGATTTGGATATTACTGCAGCTTTTTATATTAGATCACAGACCATCATTGTTTTCTACGCCAACTTGCATCTTCGTTTATTCCCTGCTAATAACCTGCTGCTCCCTTGAATCCACCTCCAACCTGACAACACCAGCAAGGAGCCAGGAGAATCATTTATCGCCGGCGGAAACAACTCATTACCGATTTTTATCCACAAGTGAGCACAGCTGCTGTGCAGCAACGCAGACGAACCCGCCGCGACTCGCCGCTCCGAGGGCGAATCACGCTCCGACAGAGAGGAAGCTCCGGTTGAGTTGAGCAACAGCGTGACACACTGTGGTTTCATTGTTAACAAACCCCTGGGAGTTTACTCGTAGAAACTCAGCGCACGTGTGAACGCTCACAGCATCTGTTAGATCAGGGGTGTCCAAACTGTGGCCCGGGGGCCGTTTGTGGACCCTGGACTTATCTTGTGTGGCCCTCAGCTGCAATTTAAAAATGATACAAATTTGACCTGAAGATGCAAAGAGATGTTTATTTTGCAATCAGGGTAAATGTCATTACCAGTGCAATTTTATTACACAAGAAACTACAACACAAAACATTTGCCTTTTTTTTTTGTCTTTTTATAACCAAAAAAAAAAAAAAAAAAAAAAAAAAAAAAGATAAACTTTCCTGAAAAGCCAAATTTTCCGCGTCCAAGTCAGTTTTTATTTTCTTTTAAACTTGGCTAAATTTTGAAACAAAGTGACCCAAATCCTGTTCTTATTACTGAAACTTGACATGAAGGTTGAAGAAAGAAATACTGCCACCTGCAGGTGGGAGTTAGAAGTCGCTTAAACCCAAAGTTTTTGACAGTTTTTATGGAAAATTAGCAAAAATAAGCCCCAAAAACATTGCAGTTGTTCGTTGGTGTAAAAAAATGCAGGAATCTGTTGATTTTGCATGAACTGGATGCATCCCTGTACCATTAAAAATGAATTAAATGTTCAGGTTCGTTTCAGGTATGTTGGAGCAGTCAAAGCTGGTCTCGCTCCTACTTAGTAAATCTTTTAATTGTGAAGAAAATGTTTCTGGATCTTGTTTCTGTGGAGTGATTTGTTTACCGAAATCAAGCTGACCAATAACCAGGCGACCTGGTGTGAGCTGAGCAGTGTGGATCGCTCAGCTAATGGCGGGTCATGCTGAGTGAATCAGACTCTGAGACACCCAGCATCCATTATTTAGAGGCTGAAACATCTCCAGGAATCATCCTCAACTACAAGAACTGTGCAGACGTCCAGGAGGCAACACAAGGAAAAAGATCCGTCTTCAGAAGCTTTCAGCTCAAAGCGCAACAGAGAAACTTTTTGCTTTTGAGTTAGACAATGTTTCAAGTCCATTTAGGAGATTTTTCCCAAAGCAGGAGGTAAAAACATTGGAGAGGAGAGCAGGTCTTACCCCTAATACCGCCATGCGTCGACTGTGTGTGGAGCAGCAGCCACGTCTCTTCCTGCGGTTGTGCGGCCGACGGCGTTAGCTGCTCATCATGGAGTGCCTCTCATCAAAGCCTGGAAACGAGCAAATAAAATAACTACGTTTTAACAAGAATATGCAGAGGAGCTGTTAAATAATAAGGAGGTGATGGTAGAGGAATAAATGAGGAGGAAAACAAGGCAGAGTCACAGAGCTTGGTGGTTTTCTGCTTTTATATTTACAGAATAACACCTGAAAAGTGATGAATAAGATTTTATTAAGTTTGTGCACACCAGGAAAAAAAACAATCAGTAAAAATGTCAAATAAAAAACATTTTTAAACACTTAAGCATCTAGCATTCTTAGTCCCCTCAGGAACTAAGAACGAATAAGAAGCCTAAAAGTAAACTATGGTTATCTTTTATTGCAGCAAATTTACCTGAAGCTTAAACATTTTGAAAAACCCAGCCTTTAATACAATTGGAAGCCAATTAATGCCATGAAAGGAACGAGAAAAGCCCAAGAGGAAGTTGTAATTATGAGTTATGAAATCATGATTATGACAACAAGTCAAAACTACAAGAATAAAACTTACAATTTTGAGTTTTAAAGTCAGAATTACAAATTTCAAGTTTTAAAAGTTGTAATTTCAAACTGCGCAGGTGTGACACATAAAACTCATGATCATTTTCTTAGATTATGACGAGATTCTTAGTTTTAAAGGATTTTTACTGTAACGTTTGGTGTGGACATTACAGTAGAAACTAACGGGGATCCTTAAAGAAACTGTCACTAATTCACTAAAGTTTGTGAGTTCAGCAGAGAAAGACAATGACTCTGAACCAAGTCCAACCGTCCTGCTGAATCCGCCCTCTGCTGAAGGACAGAAGACGTCCAGCACCGCAGTGACTAGTTATGCCATCACAAGCCGTGATTCATCGCTTAATCGTAGGAGTCGACCTCTCTAGTCACGATGAGAGGGGAAATCTGAGGCACCCACCGATCCTTCATCCTCCTCCACACGCATTAGAAACAGAAAGTCTTTAAAGTGTCCGGCGCGCCGGCCGGTCTCTGCCAGCTCATCAGACCGTGAAATTATCCAGGTTAGTCGGCCGAGATGAAACACGGAGAGGGCTGCTGAGGACGCACACACACCGTACTGCTGGCGGTCACAGCGCCTTAACGCGGATGTTACTGTAATTTTACACCTGCAGTGTCTTGGTGATGTAATGCGGTCAAGCTGCGGTCAAACAGAGCACCTCTGATTACTTCGCTCATTAAAAAGTCAAATCAGATGAAAAATATCAGCAGGATTTAGGAAGCAAACAGAAAACAGAACATCAACCCTGATAGATTTAAATAACAAATTTAAAGTTAACAACTAGAGGTTTATAACAACACAAACATAATCCACTTTTTTCACTACCAATACTTAAGCTTTAGTATAAGGCA